CCGGCTCCTGGGCGCCAATGGTCGAGGCCGCGCCTGCCTCCCGGGCGGGGCCTTTGGTTGGTGGGGACGCGCTGCAGCCGGTCCCCGCTCCTGGCTTCTGGGTACGCGACCGGCGACAAACAATCGCGCGGGACTGCGCGGCGCCTCCCTCCATCCCTTCGGCCTGCAGGGCGCAATAAATTGTTTAAACCTTTGCACCGCTCTGGTTTTCTTCGAAGTCGCGTGGGCCGGGACCTTTCGGGAAGAGTTGACACCTGTAGGGTGAGGGGGCTGTACAAGGTCCGTGAGGAGAAGTGGGCTTGATTGGTCCAGTCCCCAGGAAGGTTGGCTACCTCTCCACAGGTCCCAAAGCCGCAGAGTGGGGTGGCGGCTTCTAAGGTCGGCCAGAATCTACTAGGACACCATCCAGCGGGGCACCCCTTAGAGTCTCACTGCCAGAGCACCATCTAACTGTTTCCAACCTGTGCAGCGGGTGAGAGTGAGGACTGAAGGCTTCGAGAGAATGAGAGGGGCCTCCGCCTTAGGTGTCCCAACGATAACTGGTCTATTCTGATGTGTCCTAGGAAGGGATAACTAAAACTAGGCAGGCCCTGGGGCCAGTGAGAGCCAGAGAAGGTTCTAGAACAGTAGCTGTGGAGTCGACACCCCAGCTGTTGGGAGAGCCTGGGCAAGGGTTCAGTGAGGGGTGCACAAGCACAGAGGCAGGGGAAGGTCCTTTATTCCTGGGCCAGTGAGGGCCAGCGACCACTCCACTCGTCCCCGCTGCCTGTCGGAGCTTAGTGTCCCATCTGCATGCCCTGTCCTGTGCTCAGGGTCCACCTGGCCAAGCCTCTAGTGGGGAACACATTGTAGACACACCCCTTAGCCATCACTGCTGTGTTGGCATAAACCCAGAGGTGCTGAGGAGCCAGTCAGGCCCTGGTGGGCAGGTGGCACTGCATACAGGTAGGGCCCAGGCTGGAGACTGAGACCAAGTCCCTAACCAGCCCTGTGACAGGCTCAGCGACTTGCAGTTGCAACTGAGGGCCAATGTGTCCAGTGTTCTGTTGCCAGGCTACTCTGACATCCCTGGCCCTTGCTGCCTGTGGGAACAGACAGTAGGCCACCAGCAGCCTGTGGGCCAGAGGCCCAGCCAGGATTCTAGGGGTACTGCTATGGCCTAGCAACAAGCCATGCAGCCCCAAACCAGAACCCCTTCAGGGTGTACTGCTGGGCACCTCGGGTTGTCTGCATCACAGTTGCAGGGGTCTGGCCTGGAAATCACTTTCTGACCAGCCCCTGAGGTGTTAGGAGATTCAGAGAGAGCTGGGCAGGGACACTGCCCCTTTCTGCCTGTTAACTCCCTACGACTGCCTGTGACCCCTGCGTTTTGTGCCCCTGACCCTCTGAACATCCCTCCTTAGCCAGATCTTCCCACCCTGCCAACCCTGTTCCAATCTGAATCCCAAAGGGCCCCAGGTGGCCAAAACTTGGTAAAATCCTAGCTGGTGGGAGGTGGGGGAACCTTTAGGAGGCGGCACCCAGCTAGGGGAAGCAGGTCCCTGGGGGCGTGCCCTTGGTGGGGGGCAATGGGGCCCTAGACCCTGCTGCTCTTTCTCTTCACCTCCCAGCTGCCCTGAGGTGACCACTTTCCCCCAAAGCACCTGCGGGTGGCACTATTCACACTGTGAATCAAAGGAAACTTGCTTTAGAAGTTGGTCTAGCTCAGGTGTGAGGGCAACCTGTGATAGCAGGTGTGATAGCAACAGAAAGCTGACAGATACACGGTCCTTTATGGACATCTTACGAGCTCCAGGGCCCCAAAAATATTAATGGAGCATCCAGACCCAGCTGCACTCAAAGCTCCCAGACCTGAGCCTCATGCAGACATGCTGCTCTGTGCAGAAGCTGACTGAAATTGGCTTTTGACCCTGCGTCCGGTCTCTCGGTCCTGTGACTGCCCTGCCCTCTCCACACTTGCAGCCAGGACTTGGGCTTCCTTTCTTGCTCTCCTCCAAAACTGTTCTTCCAGGCGCTTTCAACTGTGGGCCCCTCTCTTGTCTTTTCCCCTCTTGCCCCCGAGGACCCTTCACCAGAGCTACTGTCTGGCTTTGGGAGACCTCCCTGGTCAGATCCCCAGTCACGTTAAAGCTGTATGGCCTTGCTGGGCATGGTAGCGCATGCCTGTAATCCCAGCATTTGGGAGGCTGAGGCAGGAGGATCGCTGTGAGTTCAAGACCAGCCTGGGCTACATAGTGAGTTCCAGGTCAGTTTCAACTACATAGTGAGACCCTGTCTCAAAAAACAACAACAACAACAAAGTCTGATAACCATGCCCTTAGCAAGGTCTTATTTACTTGTAGCAGGACTGGATCTTTGCCTATTTTGTTTGTTTGGTATTGGGGATCAGGGCCTTGTGCTTGTGAGGCAGGTGGCGGCACCACTGAGCTGAATCTCCAGCCCTGGATCTTTGATTTTTGAAGAGAAATTTCAAGTCTTCCAGATGCTCACGAGCATAGACTTTTTCTTTTGAGTGATCTTGTTCTTTAGACAGTTCAGGTGGTACTAGCTTTATTCTAAAAAGAAGAATCCAATTATGTATCTACCACCTTTACTTCCATTAAGTATGGCAAGGATCACTGAAACTGGGCCTTTCTATTTTGGCTTTAACTGTTCAAATTTTCACAAGCACTTGGTCTCCAGGGCAGACTAGGTAGTCCCTCCGGGCCAGGAGCTGGCAGGACTCTGTTCCCATACATTTGGGTAGCCTGCTGTACTTGGCCCAGACTGATGAGATATTTTAAGAGTCCTATAGACTCTAGGTCTACTAGCATATCAGAGGGTAGAAATGGCCTTCATATATCATCTCAAATGGGCTCAAACTTAGCCCAGTTTTGGGCATGTTCTGAACCTTCATGAGCGCTATTGGTAGCGGTTAGAGCCAGCACTCAGATGTCTCTTGGCAAAGTTTTGCCAGAGCTCACCTTAGGATCTGGTTGTCTCACTCTGTCTTTCCAGAAGATTGAGGTCACCAAGTGGAATGAAGTGATACCTTTGCCACTCCCTGAGTTATTTGGGAGACAGAAGAAGGTCCATCGTCACACTGGAGAGAGCCTGGGGTGATCCAAACTCTGGGGATGATACCTTTTTTTGGGATGGGGTTTGAGACAGGGTCTCACTGTGCAGTTGAGACTGACCTGGAACTTACTATGTAGCCCAGGCTGGTCTCGAACTCACAGCGATCATCCTGCCTCAGCCTCCTGAGTGCTGGGATTACAGGTGTGCGCACCACCACACCCAGCTGGGGATGATTTCTTTAAGAAGCACCTTGACTACCTCAGTAGCCACCCCCCCACCGGGAATCAAACTCAGGACCTCGTGCTTGGCAGGCAAGCGGCAGCTCTACTGACCCAGCCCTGTCAGTAGCCTTTTCTAAACAGGTAGGAAAGGCTTCAATCTAGCCTGCAAAGGTATCAATTAGGAGAACATCTGTTTAAATCTTCTACACAGTGGGATGCAGGTAAAGTCTAATTGGCAGTCCAGGGTATGTCCCTCTCTGTCTCTCTCCTAATAAAGGAAATGGTTTGAGCTTTCCTGGGTTGTTGTAGACACAAAACTGGCAAGCTTTGCAGAACTGGCGAACGGCTATCAATAGTCCCAGTCCTGTGAAAACCTGAGTGACCATCTCTCCAGTGCAGCGTTTCTTTCCCACAGGGAAGGAATCATGAAGCGTTTTTATAGCCTTCTACTGTATCCCTTGGGGAAAGACCAGTTTTTATTTTTTTTCTGGATCAAGACTTCTTTTAATATACATAATGTATAGTACTTCATGTAATTTATTAATGCCATTTTCTATAGGACATGGTAATTCAGTGACATCAGTATTGACCTCATACAGACAAAGGTTGGAACCTGGGTTTTCTCATGTACCAACTACAAAACGTGTTAAAAAGTTGTAAGAAGCCGGGCGTGGTGGCACATGCCTGTAATCCCAGCACTCGGGAGGCTGTAGACCACCTGACTACCTTCTCTTGGCAGCCCCACTTTTGCCTGTTTTGCTGCTGCTACTTCTAGATTTGCCGCATGATTCTGAAGAGTCTTATCATGGACTCAGAAACACCAGGCGATTCACGGTTGGAATTCACCACGTTTCACTGACTGCTTCATCTGCTGTCTCAAGTCAGGATCACGTGAGTTGACCACTTTGGGCAGCATAAATATCAATAACGGAAGAACCGTCATCACAACCATTGGATTCATCAGAAAATCTGTCCATCCCCATACCGGGGATCAAACGCCGGACCTTGCTGTTTCAAGACAGGCGGTGGACCACTGAGCTAAATCCCTGGCTCTTCATTTTAATAGAAGAAGGTGGACCTGAAGATTTCATTTGGAGAGGATCGTGCCGTCCGACTACTTCTCATGTTTTGACGTAATTCACGTATCTTGCCCTCATTTTTCCTTTTGAAGTAATGTCTACTCAGATGGGAATCAAACTTGTAGCCTAGAGAAATAACTTCTACTACATAAGATCCAGAAGGTATATCATGAACCACGAAACTCCTGTCCATCCTCTGAGCTCTGGGCAAACCCAGTTAGCAGCAGCAGCAGGAGAGCAAAGAAGCCACACAGAGCATCAGGACTGTAGCCCCAGAACCTTCCCTGTCCCCGACTCCTGAACCTTTTCTGGTACAAACAAAAGGTCCTCGTGGGCCAGAGTGAGGTGGCCCTGGGGGTGTGGCCAGCTCTGCCTGGGCCCATTGGTACTGTGACCTCACAGGAGCCAGTGTGAGGTCACAGCGGTTAGCTGTAGAAGGCCCTGGCTCAGTGGGGTTTTCATCCTGAATATCATCCTGGGACCTCGTGCTTGTGAGGCAGGCAGTGGCAGCACCACTGAGTTAAATCCCCACCCAGCCCTCCAGCTCTTTCCTTTATGTTTGCCTGACTACCTGTGTGATACCTGTCAGGTATTTTCTCAATCTGTTAATTTCTTCCCTGTAGAAAGACAGGTTTATTTTCACATTTTGTTGTATCTTAGCTCTTTTTTTTCTTTTTGGCATGATAAATTCCTTGCCACTCTGTCCTTATCCTGACACATGAATTTACATCACCAGCAAGCCCAGCTTTTTTGCTTAGAGTCCCCTCTGCTGACCCACTCCCTACTCATACGCCTGCGCCGCAGCCAACGTACTTTCCACGCAGGGTTTGCATTCTGAGCAATGAGATCTTCGCGTGTGGTTTCTATGACTTTTGGCTTTTCTATAACAGTGAGTTTCAGCTGGGATCCATCTCCCTGCCTGTCACTCCAGCCAGTGCTGCTGAGTAACAGGCCACGATGCTGAGTCCCAGGATTCCTCCTCAGAAAGATGGCTGCAAAGGAGGCATTGCAGATAGCTCTTTCCTGTTGGTGACTGTGCTCCCCAGGGGTCCTGAGCTCCTGACAGCCCTGTGGGGGCCCCCTGCTTCCTCTGCCCTGGCTTTCTGTTGTCTAGGAAATGGGCAAAAACAGCCTGCACCTGCCTCCCTGCTTTTTTGCATGCCCCGCAGAACCCAGGGCTCTCTTTTTTTGGCGAACACTGAATGTATCTGAAGTTGGTCTTGGTGAAATCTCATAGGGCCAAACTGCACACTGGTTACCTCCATGCTGCATGCAGCATGTGTTCAACGAGTGACAATTTCTCAACAAAGATAGCTGCTAGGGCTGGTGCTTTGCCCATTGTGCCCTCTCCGCGCCCGCCCAGTGGCCTCTTAGACCTGGCTTGGCTGCCCTTCACAATCTCCTGCATTGCCCAGTGTGGTTGTCCAATGTTTTCTGCTGTTGCCCCAGAGTCTCAGAATAGTCTTTCCTCTTCAGGGCTCCTGCTGTCCATCCTGGAGCACCTGTGGCTGGAGCCTGCTGCTTATTTCTCTTTACCCAAGTCTCAGCTGCAGGAGGTATCCTTACCCAGCGCTATAAGAGACCCCTTCTTGGGCCGGGGATTTAGCTGAGTGGTTCCACTGCCTGCCTTGTAAGTACAAGGACCTGAGTTCAAATCCCAGTACCAAAAAAAAAAAAAAAAAAAAAAAAAAAACCCCAGAAGTGGGGCCTGGGTCTCCAGTGAGCAGCACCTCAGGAGATTGGTGATAATGTTACAGGAAACAGTACCAGAGGTGAAATATTTTTATATCTCCCAGCCTGTTAACTGTATGATACATCGAGTTCTTGTTCTTAAAGAATGACTCCTAGGAACAACGGAAGTTAAGAGTAGGAAGATGTTTACTGATAGGAAAGCTCCTGAGGGGGGCAGGGGACCCCACTTTCCAGAGGAGTTTTATAGGGTGAAACCACATGGGTACGTGAGCCACAGCCACGAACGTCCGATAAGGTTACGAGTTCGGTCACTTAGGTGACGGTGGTCCCATTGGGAAGCAAGTCCCGTAACCAGCGTGGATGGAAAGAACGGATTCTCCTAGGAAGCGGTGGGTCCAGAGGTCTCTGGTCACCCGCCGGGGAGGCCGATGTCTATCTAGACTTCAGTAGGCCCAGGGTTTGTTCTTTGGGAAGTATGCAGGTCTGGCCATCTTGTCTTTATCTTGAGGAATGGTTTTCAGCCGATGTTTCTCCGGGGCAGCTATGGTGTGATTCATCTTTTCCTGACCCTATGGAAGACCTAGCCCTGTCTGACTTCCTATAATATTTCTACCTAACTTATCCATGTATAATAATGTTTGTTTGTTGAGACAGGGTCTCACTATGTAGTTGTCTGGAACTCACTATGTAGCCCAGGCTGGTCTCGAACTCACAGTGATCCTCCTGCCTCAGCTTCCTGAGTGCTGGGATTACAGGTGTGCACAACTATACTCAGACATGCATAATAATGAATACTCAGCCTCCCAAGTTTCAGAAGGTTCAACCAAGGAAGGATTCTAGTGCAGACAGCATACGTGGGACTCCATTCACCTGAACCAGGCAACACCCCAGGACCAACACTCCATTGTCCCCAGAGAGGCAAAAATAAAAATAACATGTTGCAGTTCATATCTAAGGAAACTCACAGGCCTTGAGGCCTGGCCTCTTCAGATTTGCCTCCAGCCCCAATCCCCACCACCACCGGGGATCAAACTCAGGACCTTATGCTTGTGAGACAGGCGTGCACGGCTGTTCAGCCACAATTTTGACGCCTCCTCCTCTCCTGACTCTTTCGAAAGCCCAACCCCTCCCTGCTTGCCTAATTATTTCCATCTAGCTCAGCTGTCCATAATTCCCTTAAGCACTCTGGTCGAGCCTGGTCTCTGAGGGAAAGTTTGAGAGGAAAGTCAGGACACACAGCCACATCCTGGACTTGCCTGCGATCAGCACCTCACAGCAGAGTAAGGGCCTTGAGCAGATCACACAACAGATCAGTGCTGTCCTTTGGGTGCACGGTTTATTCACACGTAAAACCTTTCCTCTCTGAAGCACACACAAATGGGTAGAAGGCCTGATCCTAGTCGTTCACACGAATATGAGACCAAATCGAGTCCAAGTCACTCGCTGAGTTGAGGTAAGGTTCCACTTGAGGCCATCTGGGGAGCACCCAGTTCCCATGGAGATGCTGCCGTCTGCGGCCCTCTTGGATAGAGGCCGGCGTGCATGGCTCAGGAGGCAGGAGACGGCTGTGTCTAACCTGCAGTTCTGCGGTGTCTCTGAGGTGGAGCCTGTGCTGGTGTCTGTCCACCTCACGCCCTGCTCCTGCTGAGGTACTCGGGCAGACATGATAGCCACTACACTAGGAAACTAGCTGTGGTAGCTGGGCCATCTGTTCTGGGGCTGTGGCCGTCCTCTGGTGCAACCAATCGGCTTCTTCAGGCGTTGCTCTCTCAGAAATCCTAGAATCCCTCCCTTGGCTGCCGGCACGCCGTGATGTCCCCGTGTACTTGGCCACCAAGTGTCACACACTGTCCCACTGGTCTAGAGAAGGCCGGGCCCTGGTTGTCCCGGGCCACCCCACAGGTGGGTGTTTTCTGTTTAGTCGACAAGATTTGGTTAAAGTCAAAGGGCTGAAGAAGATGGGCGGGCCCCTGCTCTAGTGACCAGGATCAAACATCCACAGGAAGATGGGGTTTGTGTACCTCCAAAATGAGCAATATCCTGGACAGCAGTTTGGCCACATCTCCGAGAGCTGGCTGAGAGAGTAGATAGTGGGAAAGAAGGGACGGAACTGGGACTCAACAGTCCAAGCAGGTTCAGTGCTAACCTCAGAGGGGCCTCCCGGGGAACCGCGCGTAACCTGCGGCCACGTCCTCTGGGGCCTAAGTAAAACAATGTCCATGTTTCTCTGAGACGGTGGTGAGGCTCGTTCGAGCTGGCAGCAACCCTTTGAGGTGGATGAGGAGAGGCCTGAGCCAGTGGGGATAAGCAAAGGGCAAAGACCTAGTGAAGTCCACGGCCCTGATTTCTGAGGCCTCGCAACAGTGACAACTGCACAGCTTTCACGCGGCCCCCCAGTCTGAAGATGGCACCAGGCGGCACCCACCGATAACAAACTGGCTCGTTCTGCACACCCGCCAGAACAGCCCACCAAAGCCTGCATCCCAGCTGCTAGGTTTAGGCGCCACCCCTGCACCCTTCCTTGGAGCCTCCTCCACTAACCAGAGCTTTTCTTTGTTCTTTCTAATAAACCATACCTGGGCCAGGTTGCTCCCCTCTGCTGCTCGCGGATCTCATTCTTGGTGGTCTTCAGAACAAGGCCCGGGAGGGAGGGGTAAATCAGTGATGTGGTGACTCAGAGAAAAAATCTGCAGCAGGAAATACTCAAGGTGACACCATTTATGAAAACCCCCAGTGCATGAAGCCTGTCCTCAGGTGCAAGAGTGAGCTTTCCTATGAAACTATAATAATGAATAAAAACTATCCACATCCTCACTTTGCAGTGAAAAGGCCCACCAAACCAGGAGTGAGGGGGGTGAGGGAGCCAGGGAAATCAAGGGGGATTGCATTCAGTAAACTTGAAGCAAGTAAATGTTATTCAGTGGATATACTAGTAAATAACCTGCATTTTTATAGATATCTTAATAAAATAACCAAACTCCATAAAAAAACCCAGAACTGGAGTCTGGCATGCCTGAGAAGTAACCACCACAGGCCAAGCGGCCCCAGCCCACAACCCAAAGGGAGGAAGCTCAAGCAGAATTTAGAGGAAAAGGCAGGAGGGGAGGAGTTGCACAGGTCCTGCACCTGCCCCAGGTCTGCCCCTCACTGCCATCTGCATCTTCTGACTGCCGGAACGTGGATCCCTCATTTGCATGGCACCCAGGGCCAGAGCCCCACCTGCAGCAGCTGGATCCTAAACCACAAGCAGGTGTAGTCACAGGCGCCCCATGCAGGGTGGTTTCCTTCTGTCCGGATGCCCCAAGGAGAAAGGAGACACAATAAACACACCCCAAACCAACACCTCATTAATCAGAAAGTGACGGGGCCACCCAGGAGCCCAAAGGGAGCTCACAGCACCAGCTCCAGGGCTCTGGCCTTCAGGGTCTCGGCTCCAGACCTCAGCCTCCTCGGGCAGCCCCTGGGTGCTGTTCCATCCCGACGAGGGCGGATCTCGGCCCGTGCTCCCCACCCAGGTGCCACTGATGCTCTCTCTATGTGGCAGGGACAGGGTCCTCGTTCCCCCTAAGTCTTTCAGGGTGAATTCGGTGGCTATTCGGGATGGTTTTAAGCTACAAGATTCAGTTTTGAAGGTTCGCAATTAGGAGCAGATGGGCATGGCAGCGCAAGCTGTGAACCCACACAATTTAGCCAGACTTTGGCTGAAAAATAAATTTTAAAATGTTAAAAGGGTGCGATTGAGAAGGAGCCCCCCACACCAAGCCTTGTTCAGAAAACTCCAGTGACTCATTTATAGCAAATTCCATCCTTAGATTGGCTGCCAGAAAAGTCAGAACCAACCCCCATCAGGACGGTGTTCCAGAAGAACCGAATGGGAAAAACATTTTGCCAGCTATTCCTTGGACCTTAGACAGAGGACTCATATCATATATATTATAGAATATATAAAGAACTCAAAAACACTGGACACCCCCAAAATAAAAGTCTCAATGAAAAAAATGGGCAACTGAAATGAACAATTTTTCATAAGAACAAATGTCCAATAAATGCATGAGAAAATGTTCAAATGAACAATTTTTCAGAAGAACAAATGGCCAATAAATGCATGAGAAAATGTTCATCATTGCTGGCCATTAGGGAAATGCAAATTAACACCCAGATTCATCCCACTGCAGAAAGAATGGCTATCATTAAGAAATCAAGGGCAGCCAGGTGTGGTGTGGGCCTGTAATCCTAGTACTCGGGAAGCTGAGGCAGGAGGATCGCTGTGAGTGTGAGCCCAGACTGGGCTACATAGTGAGTTGTAGGTCACTCTCAACTAAATAGTGAGATCCTGTCTCAAAAAAGAAAAGAAATCAAGGGCCAGGGATTTAGTTCAGTGGTTCTGCCACGTGCCTCACAAGCACAAGGACCCAAGTTTGATCCCTGGTATGAAAAAAATAAAAAAAATAAAATAAATCAAATAATAACTGCTGGCAAGACTAAGGTTCCAGGGAAGAACCCTTCTACACTATTGGTGGGAATGGAAAAAGTACAACCACTGTAGAAATAAGTGTGGAGATTTCTCAAAAGAACTGAAACTAGAAATTCCATCTGATTCAGCTATCCCCCTTCTAGGAATCTTTCCGAAAGAGCTAAAAATATACTACAGTGATATGTGCACACCCTTGTTTGTAGCAGCACAACAATTTTTCTTTTCCTTTTCTCTTTTTTGAGACAGGATCTCACTATGTAGTTCAGGTTGGCTTTGAGCTCACTATACAGGTTGGCCACAAATTTACAGCAATCCTGCCTCAGCCTCCTGAGTGCTGGGATTACAGGGCTACTGTGCACTACTATGCCTGGTATCACAGCACAACTCTTAATAGCTAAACCTTGGAAGCAGCTTATATGTCCATCAACAGATGAATACCTGCCTCAGCCTCCTGAGTGCTGGGATTACAGGGCTACTGTGCACTACTATGCCTGGCATCACAGCACAACTCTTAATAGCTAAACCTTGGAAGCAGCTTATATGTCCATCAACAGATGAATGAGTAACAAGTGTGGTATTTATATACAATGGAGTACCATTCTGTCATCTATAGGAAAATGGATGCACCCTGCGACCATACTGTGAAATGAAATAAATCAGACACACAAGCTTAACTATTGCATGGTTTCTCTTATATGAGAAACCAAAGTATAAATAAATTAGAGAGCAAAATAAAAGATGATAGGAAACAGGGAGAGGAGCCGGGCGTGGTGGCGCACGCCTGTAATCCCAGCACTCGGGAGGCTGAGGCAGGAGGATCGCTGTGAGTTTGAGACCAGCCTGGGCTACATAGTGAGTTCCAGGTCAGTCTCAACTACATAGTGAGACCCTGTCTCAAAAAACAAAAACAAGACAACAACAAAATAGGAAACAGGGAGAGAGATCTTTTGTAAAAGAGAAGGGAACCAAGAGATGGAGGGGAACGGGAGATAAGGGGAGGGGATACAAACAATTCAGATGTGAGGTACATGTGCCACCTGCGCACAGGATGTGACTGCTATGCACTGCAAACATGGACAGTAGCGATCTTTTTTTTTCTTTTTTTTTTTTGGTACCAGGGATTAAACTTGGGACCTTGCACTTGCGAGGCAGGCAGTGGCACCACTGAGCCAAATCCCTGGCCCCTGGACCACAGTAATTTTTAAAAATTGGAAAAAAAAAACAAACCTCAAAAAACGTAGACTTAAGTTTATTACATAAAATGTACCGAAAAGCTGACCAGGGGTAGTAAGATGGGACAGGAAGGAGCTCAAGAGCAAGAGCATAGCCAAGAACTCAAGATCTGGGGCCAGGGATGTAGCTCACTGGTGCCTTGCCTGCCTGGCAAGCTTGAGGTTCTGAGTTCGAGTCCCAGTACAGAAAAAAATAAAAATCTGACCACCAGCCAGGCCCATCAGCCAAGCCATTACTGTCACCAAGGTACCCAAGCAAGAGCAGACAGGGTGGCACGAGGCGGGCCAGGCTACCGTCACCACCCTCCTGCAGGACCCCACCCTAGAGCCCAGGCCCACTCATGACAGGAACCTGCATGAGGGTAGGCCCGACGCTGCAGCCACCACCAGCAACGAAGACAGAGTAAAAAATCCTTGCCACCCGTCTTTGGCATTGTCAAATGGTTCAGGTCAGAAATGGATATGCATCTGTAAATTGAAATGACACTAAAGATGTATTCGTACATCGTATTAATACCAAGAAGAACCACCTGCCAGGTTTGGCGGTGCCTGCAGCAAACCAGCGTGCCAGGAGCACCCAGCTGGAGGGGGTGAAGAGGATTAAAGACAAAGATGCATAATTTGGAAGAGGGCCCCAGAGGACTCCTGCCTTTAGAGGACAAAGAGCTTGGAATTGGCAGGGCTCCTAATTTTTGCTGAACTTAGAAAAGGGAGCAAGCAATCCTGTGAAGTCAGGTTCAAGTAAGGTTCATCTGTTTCTCATAACTGGCAGCGTTCCCAGACATACATTTTTTCTCACTCAGAGCTCAGCTGTCTGTTGATTCTTTCTCCAGGCTCCCAGCTGCCAGCTTTCGGGAATGCTGCCAAAGGAGGTACAGCTTGCAGTCCCTCCTCTGTGCCCCCAGAGGAAGGTCAACCAGGCCTGGATCTTTCCACCTCTGCCTTCTAAGTGGCTTCCCACGCGTCTGTAACCCCAGCACTCTGGGAGGCTGAGACAGGAGGGTTGTAAGTTCAAGCCCAGCCTGGGGAATTCAGTGACTTAGTGGGACTGTCTCCAAATAAAAAAGAAAAAATGAGCCAGGGATGTAGCTTAGTGAGAAGTCCGAGTTCAATATCCATCTCCCACCACAGTGTCCACACAGTACACGGTGGAGGTGGAGGGGCTAGTGAGGCAGTGACACAGAAAGGGTGCCAGAGCAGGCAGCGCAACGGGCGATGGGACTCCCGGAGGAGGGAGATACCAGTCCCTGGTGTCACCTCCGGTGGGAGAGGTGAAGGATGGATTCTAGAGGGGCACAGCGTGGGGCTGCCAGCAAAATAGAACTTTTACTCAAAGAGCTGCAGGGAGCTTATCATCCATGAAATCGAAAACATCCAGCGGCCTGGCCCACACCAGCCCCCCGACCACCATGGACACCAGCGCCCCGTCCTCTTATTGCTCCTCCCAGCGCCGCAGACACCAGGCGCTGAGCAGAACAGTGAGTGATAACTGGATCAGCAGGGTGACCTAAAGACCCTTCAGGAAAAAAGCAAGTCCCAGGGGCCGGGGATTTAGCTCAGTGGTTTCGCCGCCTGCAAGTCCCGGTGCTGCGGAGAATGGGGTGGGCGGAGGTGGCAGTGACGAAGGCCACTCGGAGGACGGGCTGGTGCCGCAGGTGAGGTGGGCCCTATGCTGGAGCATGGCGGCTGCAGGACGAAGGAGCTGCGCTAGCTCCACTGCATCCTCTACGACGACGGTTGGAAGGGCTGCGAGCTCGCTGGAGAGGTACAAGGAGCTGGCGCTGCTGCTGACGGAGGTGAGAGGACAAGGGCGGCAGCCCGACCACCTCCACCAAGACCGCTGTGCTGTTGCTCCGGGCAGCACAGCCCCTCGCCGGCAGGGCAGGAGCACCCCCCCTCCCCGGTTCTGGTACAACCTTCCGGCCCAGCAGAGGCCTCCCTAACCCTGCACCACCCCTTCCCTCATGCATAGATGCCAGGCAGACCCGGCTCCCACTGGAGGGTGACAGGCTCCTCCCATGCAGGCTGGCTCCGGCTCCGGAAAGGGTCCCTGCAGCAGACGCCCTGCAGCACGCCCTACCTGGCCTGCCCCGGGCGTCTCCCATCCCCGCCTCCAGCTCTGCTGGTGCGCACCACGAAGGTCCCGGAGCTGCATGAGAACCTGCACCAGCAGCTCCAGGACGTTGCGAGGACCTGAGTGAGGCCATCGTGCGGAGATGTGCAGCGTGCTCCAAACCCTGCACCCGGCAGCACCTGCCCTGGAACCAGTGCCAGTACCTGCGGGGCCTGGCCTGACCCGGCCCCGGGCCCACCACCCTCTGTGGCAAATTGTGCTTAGGACCTGGCCGCTCTGGCTTCATCGTGGCACCAGCCCACTCCCGCAGCCCAGCGTCCTGGACGGACACAGTCCCTCGGCGCCCTGGCAGTGAGCAAGGAGATGCCAGGCGCCCATCCCCAGTGGAGGGCATCTCACCACACCCTTCTCCCCTGGACGGCCCCACTTCTGCCCCCTGCTGTGTCCAGGCTGACCGGAAGCTGCCCTTCCTCTGACCCTGTCCTGGGACCTCGGGGTCCCCTGCTCTCCGGAGGTCAAGGCCAGCTGCTGCCTGCGGTATTCACCTCCACATCCCCAACACACCGCACCGTCTCCCTCTCTCGTCAGGCAGAGCTGGGCCATGGCTGGGTCTGGGGTCAACTGGCCTCCCTAGGGCCGACTGGACCCCAAACCCCAGGACAGTGCTGCAGAGCCACCCACACTGGGCTCTGTCCTCTGGGAAAGGAAGCCCGAGCTGGTTCTGGCTTTCATTTTGCGGTGTGACCTCCAGCGTGTTCCTCAGCCCTGGTGGGTAAGGAGCCCCCACCTCAGGTTCCTTTTAGCCCTGCTCCTTCCCTCTCCTCTCTCCCAGCCTGGGAGCTGGAAACGATCACGTGTAAACCAGAGGGGCTGACAGGAAGATGGCACAGAGGGGCAGGTGACACTGTGGCACCTTGCTGACGCCATTCACGCCACTGCGGCAGCCCCAGTACCTGCTCACTCTGTTCAGTCCCCACACCACTGGCGGCCCTCTCTCCTGACGGTGCTTAGCCTCCTGTAGCAAGAGCTGAGGAGTCCAAGCACACGGTCTTCACGTCAGCCCAGCTGCAGGATGGGACCACGCAAGGGCGGAAGGGTGGCTTCCCTGCCTCTTCTGAGTGGTTGTGTTGTGTCTACCATCACGCCTTGGAGTGTACACTCTCAGGAAATGTGACAGTCCCGTCTGCAGATCAGTGGCACAGCTGCCCCTGCCTGCTCTGGCCCTCTAGCACACATTTGCTTTGTGCAGAGAAACAGAGCTGAGAGTGGTTAAACACACTGATTTGACCTATTTCAGTAAAAGGAGTAACGAGGAAGACTGTGACAGTGTATATTTTGAGCTACATCATAAGGGCCTCTTTTGTGAGACTCAAGAAGTAAAGATAAGATACAGCAGAGTGCACCCAGCCTCAGCAATGCACAGCGAAGCAATGCCCGAGTGGACAGAGGACCCTAGTGCTGCGGGAAAGGCAGCGCGTGTGTCCCCAGGAGGGGCCTAAACACACTGCAGGTGGCTTCCTCCCAGGTCTCAGACACCACACCGGGGATCAAACTTGGGTCCTTGTGCTTGCGAGGCAGGTGGCGGCACCACTGACCTAAATCCCTGGCCCCAGTTGGTTTATTTTTTGCTGTTTTGGTGATGTCAACTGACAGAAGAAATGTTACCTCCTCTGGGAAAGCCCTATCAAACTAATCCGAACTATGTGGTAAATGTTTGTTGCTGTTCACTTTGGATGCTGATACTAAACTTCCAACTTCCATAATTAAAAAAGCAATTTTATGCTTTCCTTATTTATTTCTAGGATAAGTGGAGGATAACATTTTTCTTTCTTGATGATTCTCTTGACATTTCTGAAAAATAACATTTTTACACTCAAGGGAAACCGAAGTCAAGCCAAGCCCACATGCTGGGCAGACGACAGCCCTCAGGGAGCAGCAGGGCAGGCGGAGGGCTCCGTCCCTCAGGCACAGGCAGCCCCTCTTCCTGCCGCCCATAGCCGATGCTCAAGGCCAGGGCAGCTGCTTTCCTGGGGAGCCGCAACTGTCCTCTAGCCAGTGCTACCGCCTCCCATGTGAGAACACCCCCCGGGTGTCCAGGGCCAGGATGTGCTACTGACTGTGAGGCCGCTTGGCCTCGGGTGCCTCCTCCTCCTCCTGCTTCAGCCACTGCACCAGGAGGCCTGCACCACCTCTCTTGGCGGGCAGCGGGCTCCTCGGCAGGAACTGACTGGACCACTGGGGTGTGTTGGTCTCATCCGTTAGAGGTGTCTCCTGGTCCTTCTTAGGTGATTTTGTGGCCAGCCACTGCATCATCTTTTGGCTGCTGCTGCTTGCCTTGGGTTCCTAAGAGAGAGAAAAGTTCACAGCACCCAGCTTCAGCTTCTGGAAGGGGCCCATTCAGCCAGGAGCTGGGACGGGTGGAAGGCCCTGGAGGGCGCTCCAAGAATGGCGGAGAACAGAGCAATGGTTCAGTGCATGTGCCTGCCCTAGCCCCGAGCACCAAGGTTAGAATTAGTACAACGTGACCCCGCAGAGTAAGGTCCGCGCAGAAACCAGCCAGTGTCTGATGCAAAATGAAGACAAGTACATTTTTAGAGGAAAAAGTGTTAGGGTGGCAGGATTTGGCAGAGAGCCGAGACAAAAGAAAAAATGACAGCGACCATGGATAAGGGGAAAGCAACTGTAAGACAAAAGGGATGGAGCGGCAGTCCTTGTGGTCTCCGCCCTGCCACGGCTCTGAGATGAGCTCTGCAGGTCTCGCTACACAGCTCTTGCTCCATCACCCTTAATATCACTGGGGTCTGCTTTATTTGCTTTTTGACACAGGGTCTCACTGTGTAGTCCAGGCTGGCCTTGAACTGGCGACCCTTCTACCTTACCCTACCGACTGCTAGGATGACAGGCCTGCGCCACTACACCGGGCTCTGTGGTGTTCAGCTCGGGAACACCCTCCCCCTGGCCACTTTCCCTCCCCACAGCCTGCGTCCTGTGAACACTGAGATGGCACAGGTGCTTCTGAGGAGACGACTAGGGGCTTCTCCACCTTGTGGCTGCAGATGCAGGTATAGGAAGAGACAGCAGGAGTCAGCGGGCCGAGGATGGACAAGGGCTTGGCCAAGGGCTTCTATCTTCTGTCACCCTCAAGAGAACCTCATCTATCATATTCATAAGAATGCCTCCTTTGTTTCCTTTCTTTTTTGGCTGAACTGGGAACTGAACTCAGCCCTTTTTAAATTTGGAGATGCTAGGGCTCTCACTAAGTCACTGAACTGCCCAGGCTTGAACTTGTGACCTTCCTGCTTCAGTCTCTCGGAGCTGGAATGACGGACGTGCAGCCCTGCACCCAGTTCCAAAGCAAGTTCTTAGTGGGGTTTTCGGGACTTTCTGAGGCAGGGTCTTGCTACCTAGTCCAGGTTCGTCTTAATCTCACAGTAATCCTTCTCTGCAGATGCCCAGGGAGAGTGAGAGCTTCTAGTGGTTAAAGCTGTGACTAGGAAAGGCCACAGCCTGGGATATGAGGGGCCCCTACCTTTTTGACCACCAAGTGGAGGGGAGTCAGACACTCAGGGGTGTTGTTCCTCGAGTTGTTGACAACAGGCGAAACAGGGTGGAAGGTGATGTTCTCTGTGGGGCGGATCAGTTTCAGCGCCTCCTGCGTGGGGACGTCCCCGAAGTCCAGCCACCTGGTCACGGCCTCCTCCCCATCCAGAATGGCAGGCATCCTGTGGGTCAGATGTCAGTACAGTGAGGGGAGGGAGAGACACAGTAACCGGAATAGCTGACAGCAGTCACCACAAGGGACACGTCTCCTCTGTGCGTCACAGACACAGAGAGCAGGGCCATGCCAATGTCCATGCTAACAAACTGGTGGGCTTTCTACAGTGCCCGGCCTAGAATGAAGGGACAACAGATCCCGGAAAACTGTCTATCAACAACCGCCTCCATCCTCACCCCCTGTGAAAGCGACAGTAAGAAAGCGCTAGCTGGGCACAGCAGCACATGCTTATAGTCCCAGCTACTTGGGAGGCTGAGGCAGGATTGTCTGAGCTCAGGAGGTCAAGGCCAGCCTGGGCACAGGCCAAGACCCAGTCTCAAAAGAAAGGAAACCAAGGTCAAGAGCTCAGGAGGTCAAGGCCAGCCTGGGCACAGGCCAAGACCCAGTCTCAAAAGAAAGGAAACCCTTTGGATGTATTTTATGATAAATAGCATCTCTGCATTGTATTATATACTACTTGGTAATAACTAGCAGTGCTGCTTTTTTGTTTTGAGACAGGGTCTTGCTATGTAGTTTAGGCTGGCCTTGAACTCCCTAACCGAGGCTGACCTTCCAAGTGTTGGGCTTATAGGTGTGCGCCACCACACTCAGCCAACAGTACTTTTCTTAACATATGAAATAATGTTATAGTATTCTGGGAAGCTGAGGTAGGACGATCACAAAGCCCAGCCTGGGAAACTTTGTGAGACCCTATCTGAAAATTTAAAAAAAAGGGGGGCGGGGGAGACAGTAAACAAAAAGCTAGATCACAGGAGAGTGTATTTTCACAGATACAGCTCAGGACCAGGGTAAGCGGGTAAGTGTTACATTCTTTGCAGAACAGCAAAGCCTCACATGGGCGTGTGTTCGGATGTGGCAGTAACTGTAAAGGCGTCACATAGGTACCGTCTGTTCTGCTAGTGCTTGCTTTTAAACTGCAAATCTGTTCAGTGTGATTGATGTGTGGGGAGCAGGTAGAGCAAAATGCAAATTCTGCATTTGCTTCTGCTCCATTTCACATGTGTGAACCAAGGTGAGCACAGGAACTGCCCCAGTTGAAAGCCTGGGAGGGATGCACGAGACGTACACAGCCTCAGCATGAGGCTACCTGCGCTTGTGTGCCAGGAAGGTCCCAGGCTGAACACTACCCCTTAGCACCTGGGAACTTCCTGTGCCTGTTCAAAGCACCTATTTCACGTCTCAAAAGCGGCTCAGCTTCCTGGCTCAGAACGTACTGTGCCCCATAGTACATGCAAATGGAAAGGCTCAGCTCCTGGCTCAGAACGTGCCCTGTAGCGCATGCAAATGGAAACATTTTAAGCACAGAGAAGCTTGAAATAATAAAGCATCTTGAAAGAAAACCAAGATCATGTGATTATCTCCCAAGCAACAGATATAAAGGAATCCATGGCAGCGACAATACTGCAAAATAAAAGAAACACCCATGGCTGGAGTGGCTTCAAGAAGCACTGAGAAGCTGAGCTGATGAGGCCTGAAGGAACAGAAGCAAAGGCAAAATTCTTAAAAAAAAAAAAAAAAAAAAAAAAAGCTAAAACCTTTTTCTTACAGAGAAAGCACTATTTATATATAAAGACCTTAAACACTACAGAATTGGCTTCTTTTAATGTAATAGTTGTGGCACAGTGCTTTCTGCTGTCAGGAGAAGCCACAGCACGGATGGAAACAGCCCATAGGAAATTCCAGGGTTGGGGCCAAGACGCGGTGCAGTGGCAAAGAGCCTGCATAGCACGCGCCAGGCCTGAGCCGCCCTCAGTACACTGAGGACAGAGGAGAAAAAAGTACGCAAGTGGTTTGACTCCAGCACCACACACACAAAACTAATAAAAAGTTTCCAGTCACAATGTAGTAATTAAATGGAGGAAGCTAGTCACTGGATCAACTATTCAACTCTTGTTTTATTTTTTGAGACAGGGTCTCACTGTGTAGGCTGCCTTTGGACTTGCAAGAACTCTCCTGCCTTAACTACCCAAGTGCTGTGATGACCGCTATGCACTATGCCTGGCTATATATATATTTTTTGAACCCAGGACCTCACGAATACTAAACATATGCTCTGACTGAGTCACAACTCCAGACCCTAAAATTACTTTAAAAATCTTTGAAATCCAGCCGGGTGTGGTGGTGCACGCCTTTAATCCCAGCACTCAGGAGGCTGAGGCAGGAGGATCGCTGTGAGTTCCAGACCAATCTGGGCTACATAGTGAGTTCTAGACCAGTCTCAACTACATAGTGAGACCCTGTCTCAAAAAACCAAACCAAAACAAACAAAACAAAAATCTTTGAAATCCAGACAGATTTTATGTGATTTTTATTCCGTAATTTTGTAGTATTTTTTAAAATGCATGTCATGTTATAGCCAAACTGACTATAACGATTTATAAAACAGCTTAGTTTCTTTTCTTTTCTTTTTCTTTGTTCTTCTTTTTTTTTGAGACAGGATGTTACTGTGCAGCTCAGGATAGCCTTGAACTCACAATGATCCTCCTCTCAGCCTCTGGAGTGTTGGATGACAGGTGTGTGTCACCACCCCTGGCTAGTTTCTTTAAAGCTACTTGTCCAAAAGCACAAAGGACAGAGTCTCATCTGCATCTTTTTTGGATCCAGGGATAGTAAAGTGGGAATTCAGCCACCTGGGAGGCTGAAGCAGGAGGTTTATGAACTTGAAGCCATCCTGGGCAACTTACTGAGAACTTGTCTCAAAGTAAAGTGAAGAAACACTGGCTGAGGCTGTGACTCAGCACTTCAAATTCATTCCCCAGCAATGGACACAGAAAAGCTTGCCTGTGGTGGATGTCATGTAAGCTTGTGCAGGAATCCACAGTGATGATGGTGTAGGAGTATAGCAGGTCTCCTCCCTCGGGCGGCTCCCAGCAGTCAAAGATTCCCGCCATTGTCAGCGGCCTCCAGTTGTCCCAGATGCTCTCCCAGTCCTCAGCACTGTCTGTAACTCCACCACTGCTTGGCTGCAAGCGAAGTGGACAGGTGAGGTCTACGGGCATCCTGGGCACTGCTCCACAGTGCAGTGTGGTGACTCCGCCTACCACCATCACCCCCCAACACACTGCCAGCGAGGAAAAGAGGCTTGGTGGCATAAAACTGTCTGCTTGGCACGCAGGCACATTTGGCTGGGTGTTCGTTCAGGCCAGGTGTGTGTGCCACTGAATCCCACAGCTAATCCGCACCAGCCACCTGCTGTAACCCAAGGACCCACATGACCTGGAGCCTTCCTCTGCCCAAATGTCCCTATACCCTTTCCTCTCATCATGCAACTACTTACTGCGCAAGACTCTGCTTAAGACTTGCAATACAGAAAGCTGTGAAGAGGGTCCCTCTCACCTTAACAATAAGGACTAAAGTTACAGAATCTATAGAATCATGGTTTTTCTCAAACTTAACCGAGAGCTGAGGTTGCTGGGCAACTAGTGAGCCTAAACTGTAAGGAAAGAGGGGTCCTATAAGGCAGAAAGACAGGGCCTTCATACAGCAGAAAGATTCAGATGTAATTATGACCACATTTAAGAGCAGAACACAGAGGGCCAGGGACGTAGCTCAAAGTGCAAGGTTCTGAGTTTGAACCTTTGTGTGTGCGCGCGCACACACGCACACGCGGGCACACACACACACACACACACACACACACACACACAAAGGAAGGAAGAAGGGAGGGAAGAAAGAAAAAAAAGCAGAGCAGAACACGGGCTTTGTAGGTCGCTGCCACAGGTTCCCCAATGTGCAAGAGGGAGGCAGAGGTGTGGGGCTCCTCTGTAGGAGGATGCACCGAGGAGCATGCTGCCCAGCACAGTGGACCCCAGGGTCCAGGAAGTCGGTAAGACCTGCTCAGGGCAAGGGGCTGGGGGAATGAGAAAGCCAGAGACAGATGGCCTGCGACCCAGGTCTGTCTAGGACCGAACCATGACAAAGAACCACTGCCACCTACACTCAACAAGCACCAAGTGACATGCGGGCAGAGTGAGAGTGGAGGAGAACTTTGCATGGCCAGAACTCCCAGGGAGTCCACAGCTGCAGCAGGGCCATGGTGACGGCCTTCTGCAGTCACCACTAACAAAGAACTGCACACTACCAGAGAAACTGGAAGCCTGGTGACAAGGAAAGCATGATTTCAGCCAAAGTCCAGGTCAGTCCCACTCATCAAGACTGAACTCATAGATGAATTCCCAGAAGTAAGCATTATTTATCTCAGTTTCCGTCTTACCCGTTATGCCTGACAACAATCAAATACTACCAAGGCTGAGTGTGGTAGCACATGCCTGTCGTCAACCCAGCATGCTGGGAGGCTGAGGCAGGAGGATCAGAAGTTTGAGGCCACTCTGGGTAAATCAGTAATTTAGTAGGACCTTGTCTCAAAATAAAAAAATAATAAAAGGGCCAGAGATGTAGCTCATTGCAAAGGTCCTAGATTTAATCTCTACTACTAAAAAAGACCAAAACAAAACAAAACAAAAAGCACTGAACACATGTCAATGAAAACTACCCAAACTGAAACACAGGAAGAAAACACAGAAGAGAAATGTAAGAACTATAGGGCAGTATCAAACCATTTAGCACTTATGTAATTAGAATCCCAGGGGCTGGGGATTTAGCTCAGTGGTGCTGCCACTTGCCTCACAAGTGGCAAGGTCCCGAGTTTGATCACCTTGTCGCCTTGAGTTCGATACCAGCCTGTGCTACACAGTGAGCTCAAGGACAGCCTGAACTACATAGTGAGACCCTGTCTCAAAAAACAAAAACAAGCCCCACCACACACAAAACAAACAAACAAGCAAACAAAAAAACAAACCCACTCCTATGGGGGAAGGAAAAAATGTCCTACTTTGGATCACTGGCAAGCATCACTGCTGGGCCCATCTGGGAAATGCATCCTAGGCAATGTCAGTGCTTTGTGAGCACCACAGGCTGTAGACTGTAGGGCCTGCTACACACCAGGCTATGTGGCACGGCACTGTCACACACAGGGTCTGTCACTGATGGAAACATCCTCACACGGTGCACAGCATGATTTGGCCCCCCATCCTTCCCACAGTATACTGTGTGCTCAGCTGTAGATACCTGTTCCGCCTTGGTCTGGGGGAAATAGATGAAGTACGGCTGCCTCTGGCTTGATACCCGACATCGCTGCCACTCGTAGAATCCATCTGCTAAGACAACACAGCGTCTCCCCTTTCCAAGGGGCACCTGAGAGAAGAGAGCCAAGGTATGGCTTGGTGACACGTTTGTGTTTCCGTGATGGCATTAAGGTAACTGAGTTAAAATCTCAGTCACGGTGTGACCCAGAATTACAGAGAGTTCTCTGTATCTCATTTCTTTGTTTTCTTTGCAGTAGTGAGGATGGAACCTAGGCAGGTGCTCTAACACTGAGCTATTCCCCAGTCCTTTTTATTCTGAGACAGGGTCTTGCAAAGTTGCCCAGGCTGGGCTCAAATTTGATAATCCTCTTGCCTCAGCCTCCCAAGCAGCTGGTATTTTAGGTCTGAGCCAGTGAACCTGGTTAACTCGTGTGTACAGTCACCATTCAATTACACAAATGTTGAAAAGATACAAGCCAGGCATGGTGGCACATGCCTGTAATCCCAGCACTCAGGAGGCTGAGGCAGGATCACTGGGCTACACAGAGAGTTCCAGGTCAGTCTTAACTACATAGTGAGACCCTGTCTCAAAAAAAAAAAAAAAAAAAAAAAAAAAAAAAAAGATATAAAGTACATAAAAGCAAGCAGGTCTTTTCTAATAAGCAGGTATACTTGGTAGCTGGTCTCCAATGTTGGCACCCAGCTAACCATGTACACTTCCCAGTGTCCACACCCCACAACGTCCCCTTCCACCCTGCACTGGGAGGGTCTACAGCACCCATCCTGCCTTCGTGGGTAATGAGCTCTATGCATGAGTCTGCCTACCCCACACCCTCCAGCTCAGCATGGGAAAGGCTTCCTGTTATTCTAGCCCTAACCCTCCCGCCCTAGACTGCATATGGACACCACCCAGCTATCTGCCTACAAGTACGTACAACCTGAGAGAACCGTTTTGAGTTAAATCATTATGTTAGCACTGGGGGTGGTGCATGCCTGTAATCTCTGTAATTCCACTACTCTGGGAGGCTGAGGCAGGAGAATTACAAGTTAGATCCCAGCCTGGGCAACTTAGCAAGGCCCTGTTTCGAACTAAAAATTATAAAAGAATGGGGATGTAATTCAGTGAAGGCCTTGCATTCAATCCTCAGTATTACAAAATCCAAAATGAGGGCCGGGGATTTAGCTCAGTGGTACCGCCGCTTGCCTCATAAGGATCCAAGTTTGATCCCGGGTACCAAAAAAACAAAAACAAAAACAAAAAACCCAAAATGAAACAAGGGCTGGGGATTTAGCTCAGTGGGGCCATGCCTACCTCACAAGTGCAAGGTCCTGAGTTCGATCCCCAGTACCCACCCCCAAAAGAAAATAAAAACACTGTGTTTTGGCCTGTCTGTCACACAGCACACAGCACAGCACTCAACATTAACAATTTGGAGCACTCTCTGGAACCTTACTTTTCTTCTCAGGCATACAAGGCGCTGAACAGTTCTTAGCAAACACAGTGTGTTGTGCCTTTTCCCTAGACCAGTGACCTACCTTGAATGACCGTTTCTCCAGGATGGTATCACTGCGACAGTTGGTGGTGCTGAACGGCAGCTTGGAAGGGTCACCTTCTTTGAACCAAGAGGGGACCAGGCCCCATCGCATGGGAGCAATGATCCGCTCGGATGAGTCTGCATCCTGCCACAGAAAAAGGTTAAAATCAATCAGTGAGATACAATGAAGTCTGAAAAACAAAACACACATATGCACTGCAGTACTATTAGTATGAAAAGACAAAATTGCACACAATTTTTCTAAAGTCTACTTAAAAACGATTGTAATGGTTTCCATGATACAGACAACTTTAGCAATCCTGTGTACTGGGATGTTAGGACATTCATCACCTGGATAGGGAGGGAACACAGAGTTGAAGTTCCTGTACACTTTTAATCTGTGCCTCTGAGACAGTCTTCATGTGGCCTCAGCTTTCAACACCCATGTGGGTGACACGGGCCTGCAATCCTGGTGAGTGGGAGGCTGAGGCAAGAAGATAGCAAGTTTGAGGTTATAGTGGGCAACTTAATAAGACCTTGTCTCAAAATTTAAAAAAGGGATATAAGGATGTAGCTCAGTGGTAGCACGCTTACCTAGATGTGCAGAGCACTGGGTTCCATCCTAGCACTGAAAAAAGCACCGAGTAGTTTTGTGCAGAAGAGTTAACACAGCAGGCCAGAGGATGCTATTTTTATGAAGGTCTACTTACAAGCTGACCCCTGGGAGCATTCACACCTTTCCCACTGGACAAGGTGGTTGACTCTGTGTAGTTTGTTAGAATGAAGAGATTACCAGGGACAGAGGTGCACACTTGTCATCAGAATCAGGAGGGCAAGGCAAGAGTTTAAGTTCCAGGCCATCCTGGAAGCGTGAGGCTTTGTCTCAAAAACAAAACCCCAAAATAAAACAAAAAACTAGTAACACCCAAAAACCAAACAAGTTAATGCCAAAAGCTAGTTCTTCTGTTCATTCATTCATTCATTCACAGACAGTGTCTCATTATGTACTACAGGCTAGCCTTGAACTCAAGGTAATCGTCTTGCCTCAGCCTCCCGAGTGATAGGATTACGGGAATGTGCCACCAGTTAACCCCCCATACACTCACACAGCTGATTGTTGTATTTACATTAGTTTCTGTAAAGTGACCTTTAATAACTGCTGCTGCTCTTGGGGAAACACAAGGCTGGGTTTCTGAGAGACAAAATGTCACGAAGAGGTCAATATATAACTTTTCTGTCTGCTTGGCTTAAAGACACCTTCTTTGATCTGTATCACTGATTCTTTTACTTTTCATTTGACGAGAGCATGCACTTCAGGCCTAAATGAAGCTCAGCTAGTGAGTATTTCCCCTCTCAAGGCATCTTCCAGGTCCCTCAAGGTTAGGGACTCCAGCCAGCACTTTAGCACTATGCTTGGGGGTCCCTCTCCCCCTGATACTAGGGATTTAACACAGGACCTTTGCCCCGAATTAAATACCCAGTCCATTCTTATTTATTTTGAGACAGGGTCTTGTTAAGTTGTTAAATTTCCCAGGCTGGGCTAAAGTTGTGATCCTCCTGCCTCAGCCTTCCAAGAGTGCTGCTGAGGTTAGTTAACAGGCATGTACCACTAGGTAAACTTGGCAGTGTTTTCAAACAGTGAAATCACCAACAAGAAGCACAGAAATGTAATAAACATAGAAATTGACCACAAAAAAGATACCACTTTTTTGCAATGTTAAGAGTGGAAAACAGAGCTATATTCAGCTGGAAATATGAATATAATCAGGCTACTCAAATTTCTCCCTGCTCTGTGTCTACCATGACTGTGAAAACATCATTAGCATAGATTTGGGGCTACAAATACATTTTAGAGTAGGTGAATATACAAATATGTAATTGAAGAACTATAAACACTCCCTGTGTATTTGAGAAATGTGAAAAACAAGAGATTTACTAAATCCTCTCCATTCCAAAATTAAATGTGCCTGCCAAGCCTAAGGGCCCCTGCTTGCAGCATAAAAGAAAGTAAGATAAAATTACAGAAAGGGTGAAGATAGGTGTATTGGCCAATGTCTGAGATTCCTGCACTGGAAGAGGCTGACAGGAGGATCACCATGAGCTCTGCGCCAGCCTGGGTTACATAGTGAGACCCTGACTCAAAAAACAACAAAACCCCAAGAACCTACTCCTTGGGGTAAGTTGAGGTTCCCATCTCCAATTTTTTTTTTTTTTTTTTTTTTTTTTGGTACCAGGGATCGAACTTGGGCCTTTGCACTTGCAAGGAAGGCACCAGAAACACTGAGCTAAATCCCCAGGCCTCCCATCTCCATTTTGAGGGGCCCTCCTCAGCCTTCATCCAGTGACAAGATAACTCTGACCCACTCCTATCACCCAGACTTCAGGAATGCCACGGGACACTTCTGGTTACAACTTGAAGGTGCTGCTAGTATCCAAGGAATAGAGGCCAGGGGTACTGCTAAATATTCTATAATGTACAGCAGCACTACACCCCACATCAAAAAATTATCCAGCCCAAACGTCAACAGTGCCTGCCTAGGCTGAGAAACCTGGTCCTCATGGGTTCTGTTGCCACCTCTGACTTCAGTGCACTCCCTCGGCGATTGTAAACCAAACCCAATCATGAGGGCAATGAATAGTGTGTGAGAAGTCAAAATACTGAAAATACTTCTCAATATTAGTCATTTTTCCTCCCCCTTAGGGACTCCCGAGGGGAACAGTGGGCAGCAACAGGGCAGACAAATGAAAGAGGAAGTAATTTGCAAATCAGTGGTTTCAGATGCAAACGTTACAACCCATACACAAATGCTGGCCGTTAAGAATTTGGATGAGCTGCTAAAATGCTTCTAATTTTGTCTTAAAATTTACAGGTTTGAGAAAAATGAAATATCAAATATTTATCAAATTAAGAAACAACAGCAATCTTCAACAGAATTTTTTTAATCCTCAATTATTTTTGCAATACTGGGGTTGAACCCAGGACTTTCACCCTGAACTACATCCTAAGCGGTTTTGATTTTTTAAGACGAGGTCTTGCCAAGTGGCCCAACTGGCTCTTTAGAGACCTCCTGCCTCAGCGTTCCCAGTAGCTGGAATTACAGGTGTGTGTCAACATAACCAGCCCAATCGTGACTTTGAAAAAAATTATCAAAAGCAATTAAAATATTTAAGACATAGAGAAACTTCTGCTTTCTGGAACAGGAGAAAAGAAAAGGAATTTAAACTTTATTATAAATGGACACTCCAACACTACAAGGATAAATACCGTAAACACAGTAAATACAATTAAATTTCTGATAAACCAAACCAGGTATGGTGGTGCAGACCTACAGGACCAGCATTCTGGGACGCTGAGGCAGGATTGTTTGCTTGAGCCTAGCCTGGCCAATTTAGCAATTTAGAGATCCTGTGTCAAAATAAAAAGGGGTGGGGGCTGAGGATATACCTCAGTGTGAAGGGCCTAAGTTTAATCCCCACTACTTAAAGAGAAAAAAAATGTTTTTTTCAGATAACCAAATCAAGTACATGTCTTTCTAGGTTTATTAGAAGACAAAATAAAAAGGCTGAAAACACAAGCAAAAAGAACAGAATTTTTCAATGCTTAAAAAAATATCAGAAGTGTTTTTAGCTTGTCTTCTTCTTTTTTCCCTGTTTTGGTTTTCTGAAGCAGAGCCTTGATCTTCCTGTGTAGTCCAAACTGGCCTCAAACTCAGTACTGTAGCCCAGGTAGGCATGGAAATAGTGATACTCCTGCTTCAGCCTCCTGAGTAACTGGAATGAAGGTGTGCGCTGACACACCAGCTAAATTTAGCTGGTTGTAAGCTTGCCTTAGGGGTGATTCAGTTGGTCTGGTAAAGGAGTACAGAAAGAATAATTTATTTTGAGACAGGATCTTGCTCTGTAGCCCAGGCTGGCTTAGAACTCAAAGTGATCCTCCTGCTTCAGCCTCCAGAGTGCTGGGAGGACAGGTGCGTGCCACCAAAGCTGAGGGTTATTTTTTTAGAAATACTTAAATGATCCTGATGATACGTGAGGTCTGAAAGCTGTTGTCTTAAAACAATTCAAATTTAAGGCACATATACTGGGCACACGTTAAGGCTGCTATAGAAACTACACTTAAAACAGCCGAAGAACAGTCATCCCAACGTAGAAAACAAGGTCAAAACTTCTTTCTGGAGGCCAGGTGTGGTGGTGCACGTCTGTAATCCCAGCACTGGGGAGGCAGGAGGATCGCTGTGAGTTCGAGACCAGCCTGGGCTACATAGTGAGTTCCAGGTCAGTCTCAACTACATAGTGAAAACCTCTCTCTCAAAAAAAAACAAAAACAAAAAAACAAAAAACTTTCTGCGGGGCTCTGAGTGACTTTCAAGCGGGGACCAGTTCACACGTCACCCCAAGGCTGGGAGCACCCCGACCCACGTGTGCCGAGGACCGCCGGGAGTTAGTTACCTTCTCCAGGTGCAAGCGCGACAGCAGCACCGGGCTACAGCTCTGCGGGCTCTGGTTGTAGGAGGGGTGGTACTTCTCGGGCTGCCTCCACTCGGGGAGCCGCTGCCGGCCGCCGCGGTCGCGGTAGGCGCAGGCCCTGGTTAGCACGTCCCTGGGCAGGTGGCAGGACGTCCGCCCGCACATCGTCGCCGCGCTCGCCCTGCAATCAGCAAGCACAGGGAGGGGAGCGCTCCTGCTCCCGGGTCTCCGACGCTGGGGCGTTATCTTGTGCTTGTTTGCACAGGGTCTCGCTCTGCATCCAGACCGGCCTCAGCCGCCCGTGCTGGGATCCGACCCGCAGCACCGCCGCGGCTCTCTGGAAACTTCCCGGAGCTCCCGCCTGGCAGGGTTTGCTCGCGTTGCTCCCCGCCTCAGCGCCCGGACAGGCGGCAAGAGGGCGAGGCGCCGAAGTGGAAA